CTGCTGGAAACTTCTGAAAATGTCAGCGTCTAAAATCACTTGCTTTGACAGGAAGAGAACATAATTGTGTGTTACAGCAAGACTGTTGCCATGGAAAGTAGCATCCAAGCTCAGCATGGTGACTTCACTCAAGCAGAAGAAAAGTAGAGCTGTGAAGGTCTGTTTGTGAACGCATTTTTACTAGCTGGTAGAAGAGGTTTTACAAGTTTGAAAATAGAGTGCCTGAATTCATTTGGCATTTAGGAAGTTTACAAATTCCCAGCCTGAGTTTTCTCCCTAATGGTTAGAAGGAATTGCCACATTATTTGGAAGCAACTGCCCTGTGTCTTTATATGAAGAGTGTGCTGTTCTGAATCACCTACCAAATACAGTTTTACAGAAATTTTACATTTCCAGAGGTATCCTGGTCCCTTCTCTTCCTTTAGTACCCCTTGTGCTCCTGTGTCCAGCACGGTGTCAATTAAATCCTAATTTGAGGTGTATGCACCAGCCACAACAGCCTTGCAGAGTTCACAGGTCTCTTGACATGGGATCTCACGTGTGTTTCCTGTTCCCTCTGCCCCTACAGGTGTCTACTTTGACAGCTGCGTCAGACAAATCAAGTTCGTTGACTTCTGTGGGAAGTATCGCCTCCCGCTGATGCACTACCTGTGCTCCCCAGAGTGCTCCTCTCCCTACAGCTCTGCCTCCCAGAGCTCTACTTCCCAGAGCGAGTCTGACTCTGAGGATGAGGCCAGCGTCGCTGCGCACAGGATGCAAAAAGTCCTTCTGGGATAACAGGGAGCGAGAGGGGAAGACAGGAAGGAAAACAGATTCGAAAAGCAATAATGGAACAGTGAAGCATGAGCCACTGGCCTGAAGGGCTCATGAGAAATTGTCCTCAAGTCCATGCAAGGGGCAGAACATCTTAGCAAGCCTAGACTTGCTTGGTGCAGTGCTACTTAGGAGATCTAACTCGGTAGCGTACTGCCTGTAGGTTGCCTGGGGTTGTTAGGAATGTCTCTTGACTGGGAGACACCCTCCCTCAGACGGGCAGGGGAGGGGGATTTGTTCTCACTGGCGGATTCAGAAGGTTTTTAACACATGAAACTTCACTGGACTTTGGTCATCCTGCATAGCAAAGGAGACTGTCCAGATCTTTTAACACTGTGGTAAATCAGAAACAGGCTAATGATGCCATGTGAGTATGTATGGATCCCAGTGTTTTATATAGCAGTTTCGTTCTTTTCTGTCTCCTTTGATTTCAGTTACAGATTTTACACCCATCCACTGAAAATGAAAGTTGAAATGTTTTGTTCAGGACTATTTCAAGCCCTGGTTACTCTTCCTTTGCCAAGAGGTGTAGCATCTCTGTGCTGTTATAGATGTTATAGCCATCATGGAACTGAGCCACCCTTTTTCTCCCTTGTTATAGTAAGCTGCTCTTACTGTCTCATTCTAACTGTACTTGTTATTTTTCTTCCCCCTGCCTCTTCCCATTACACCTAGAGTGTTGCTGTCTTTATGATGCCTTCAGGAAACAGAGAAGTTGTTCTGCTGAGACTTTTAGTATTACTTCAGACTTGTGGCCATAAGTGCCTGTACAAGGGACCAGATGTGGCGCTCTGTGTCGCACTTTTGAGTCTCAGCTTACCTGGAGCAGATCTGCTTTTATATCTGTGAATTGCAGGAAAGGTCTTGATTGACGGTCTTTGTTTATAAACAGCCACATTTCCCCTGCTGCAGTTAGCTCTGCTGTGCTTGGTAGAGTTACTTTCCATCTTTTAGGTCATATGACTAAGCAGCTTAATGGGACTACCAGGGGAAGTGCTGTGGAGAATGTCTTTTTTTCCTGATTCAGAACACGAGAGGAAAAGCCAGTAGGGAGGCAAAGGCACGTTGTCTGAGCATCTTGCACGAGGTGGTTTTGAAACGTCTTCCTTATTTATTTGTTTGCATTTGCTCTTGTTTAATAGCTGTGGCAGTCTGTTGGATGGTTCAAATAACACATTCAGTTATCTTAACTATGTTTAAAGGAAAGCTGCAGAAAACAGCTCACAATTTTGATGCATCAAGAAATTCCTTATAAAATTAATATTATTAATTGAGAGGTATCTATAAATCTACTTTATGAGGCTGTTGTTTCTTTTGCTCAGTGAGAGCTGCCCCTTTATTAATATTTCATGGTAAACAGTCCTTTTGATGCAGTTTATGATAGAGCAAATTCAACTGTGCCTTTGAATGCATGAACAGAGCAAAACCATCATGTTAAGAAGCTGAAATGAACAAGAAAAACTTCTCTTAACCCACTTTGGCCCTACAGGGGAAATTAAAAACCTGTGGTCCCCTCCTATATTCAGGAAACACATGTACCTATTTGAACATCTTATGGCAGCTCTGTGTTAATGGCCCTATTTAATTATCTTTGACACTTTATATATTAAAGCACTTTGATAATTCTATTCTTTACAACTAGCTTTAGTGATTTTTTTTTTAATTAGACTACATTTTTTCCTTTCATGTGACCTGAAGAACAAGGTCTGGGAAACTTTTTATGTTCCAGTCTGTCTCCGTGTGCTGCATGAATTTCTTGCCTTGCATTTCCTTGACAGCACTCCGTATTTCCCCAGTTTCCTTTGTAAAGAACTGGAATTTGAAAGAAATGATCTAGCTGTCCACTGTTAATTATTGCAACTTGGTCCCCACATGCACATATGATTCCCCACCTGCACAAATCTGCAGGGAACTAATTGCATGTGCCTATGCCTTTCCAAATAATTTTTAAAGGTATATTTTTAAGACACAATAAGGCATATGTACCAAGCAACTGGATGTCACTTTGGCAAATTCTGTGAGGTTTGTATGGGAAGAAAAACCTACAGATTTTGAGAGAAGCCAGCTGCATGCTGTTTGTTAAACTGCAGTCACAGAGTGTCCTGTTTTGTTCATCTCCTCTTTCAGATGCTTCTTCCTGTCCCACATGAACGTAGTCACACCAGTGCTGAAGGACAGTAAGCTGATTCCAGAGCCACAGTTTTAAATTGCCTGCTGGTATAACAGTAGTGAGTGATCTAGAGCTTGACTCTCCTGCCAGTGAAAATGAGCCACACAAGTTGAGATCTCAAGATCTTTTGAGCTCAGGGCCATGAGGTACCACCTCCCTTCTCTTTAGCAGCATCTGCCTTGAAGTCATGCATTTTTTCATTTCACAAATTTAGATTTCATCACAGCTCCTATTTGCACAGTAGCACCTCTGTGTGTGGTGAATTAAGACCAGTGGTGGCTGATTCTAATGTAGCTCAATCCTTAACTGCATTTTCTTTCCTAACTGAACAGGCATCCCCTTTCTGCCCAAATTTTGTATGGTTTATTAGGTTAATTTTTTTTTTTTCACAGCTTCTTCATTGTAGCCAGGTCAAAGACAGCTTATGCAGTTGATATCTCTATGCATTTTTAGACTCAATAAAATACCTTGTCTCTTAAAAATTTATATATATTCCTGAACACAGCTACCAAGTTTTCTTTTTGCTGCTGGGCTTTAAAGTGCAATTCAAGTAAGTCAGAATTTAAAACAATCAAGGACTTAGAGGAAAAACAAATTATTGGTTAGTTGGTTGGTTAGGTTTGGGCTTTTTTCCCTTAGAGGTATATTTGAGAGGATTAGGGATGCAAGTGTGTGCTGTGGTGCCTAACACACTGAGCCCCTGTGAGTCAAGTTTGTCAGCAATTGTTAGCCCCAAAAGACTCAAAAATGTATTGGCAATATCATAGGTATGCACAACTTGAAAATATGCAGATGGATGGTAGGGGCTAGTTCCTACTGTTCCCTTCTCTGGGGCCCTGAGAAGCAGGCAGTGGTTTTGCCAGCACTGTAGCTCTTTCTGTCGGTTTTCAGCAGATTGCAGTTCCTACAGCTGCATCTCCAAGTGAAGTCCTCAGACAGTGTTTTGGTATCAGTCCACTTGTTGCTACAGCAGCCCAGCATGTCCAGCTTTCAAAGCTGTTCTTAAGCTGAGACACAAGTGTGTGAAGCAAAGTTGCTCATTCCTCCTTCCCCTTGGGGCCCAGGGCCCTGCCTGCATTCATCCTCTGCCCTGCCATCCTCTGCCAAGAGGAGCTGCTGGTGCCTTTCTGAATGCAGGTACTTGATGTGAACAGTGGGGTCATGTTAAAAAGAAGCAAAATATCAATTTGACTGGAAGCAACTTAGACAGTTGCCAATTCTTTTATGTGTCTCTTTCTTTAATAAGAGGTGAGACCTCAGGAAGTCAGTAATGAATATTTAAACATACTCTGAAGTGGCCAGATGTAGTTTTTCATGGGCTTCTGTCCTGGTCACTTTAAGTCTTTGAAATCTTGTGTTGAATTATAATGGGAGTGGGGGGGAGGGAGGAGAGAACCAGCTCCTTTTTGTTCCTTACTCTTGTTGGCAATAATGAATGGAAGGAATTTAATCCAATGAAAGTAATGAAACTTAATCCTTGCAATGCATCTTTGTTGCCCAGTTCAAAGAACTATTTTAATGCATCTTATTCACACCATGCCCTCCTTCCCCAACTGAAGACACTTCAAATAGACTGCTTCAGAATGCACACTAATACAGCAGTAACTCTGTCTTGGAAACCTTTCTATTGATTATTTTCACTTGCCTGCCTGACTAGAGAATTGATCATTTACTGACCTGAGGGTAGAACACTAAGAATAGAAAGGGTTCTCATCCAGCCCTCTTGTTGAATTTTTATCATGAGCATTTGTTTTAGGAAGTCTTAAAGTGCCTTATGATTTTAAAATTATATTTTGCCTGAAACATATGAATGTAGAATATCTCTAACAGTATTTCATTATAAACTGTAAAACAAATTGCAAACACTAAACCAAAAATGTTACTTCTACTGTTGTCTGTCCATTATTTGCCGACATGTCAGTTCTGGTGTTGCTGCAGGCAGAACCCCTGTGGGACTGTATTCATTAAAATGGGGCTGTACATGGTTGGGGAGCAGATGAGATTTGACCTGTGCTGTGTAAAACCAAGAGTAGGTGAGACTTCCAAAGGGACTGCTAAAACTCTTGGCTTCTGGGACCCACTTGTGAAACACCAGTGTGTGTTACAGAACCAGACCCTGCTTTACTTCTGGTGTAGTGTTGCAGAAATTTGCTCTGCAGTTTAAAGGTAGAAGGAACTCATAAGCAAGATAAATACACAAACAAGAGAAGGTGGTGTCATGGTAGACTTGTCCAGCAATATGAAACAACAGTTCTAAACTTCTTGAATTGTTTCTCTCTTAATATGCTAACCCTTGAAACCTGTAAATGACTTTTTGAATGTTAATTTTCTGATCATGTTAACTGGGTAATGTGCTTCCGTTTCCTGAGTAATGCCATGTTTCCTCCTACATCCTGAAGAGTTTTGTGATCTATTGCCAAAATGTTTTGGATCCTGCTGTGCAATTACCAGTTGTCATTGCAGAAATGTAGTGTATTGGAAAATGGGACAGTGGGAAACAAGAATTACTTGATATTAACTTCAGCAGGAACTATTTCAGAGATGGTTCAACTTCATATGTAATGAAGAACTTCTCAAATTATGCAGCAGCTCCATTTCAAATAACATAAAATACCAAGGAATGCAGTGACCTTGCAGCAATAGCTAGGCTGAGAACATTCTTGCTTCTTTTTTTAACTAATTTAAGGATACCCTTTTCTATGCCTTCTTAATACCTACCTTATATTGGGAAACAAAATCCTGGAAGTGCTAATTCCTGACATGAATTGGCCCTCTTCTAATCTCAAGGAGCAAATCTTGTCTCTCAGACCACCTTCTCTGCTTTTAGCACTAATGCAACAAAAAGAGTGCAGATGAAACATGAGTTATGTAGATACCTGAAGCAGATGCTCAGAATGTCAAATTGACATTTTAAGCTCATGGAGTTGCACAGATCTAAAGGGGAGCATAATGTTGCACTGAAAGTACATCATCATAAAGAAGATCTATATGTTTCCTACTCAGATGGACTGCCTTGGGGGATCAAGAGCTGAATGTACACACCTTTCTCTCTGCTTTAAGGTTGTGATTTGTAGATGCCAGCCTTTAAAAAAAAGTTTTTGGGAGAAAGCCCTAGTGCTGTATTAAAGAAGGCCAGGGCCATCTGCACCCTTGGTCATGGTGTGGATATGGCTTGCCATGTCCGAGTGACTTTTCCCCTTCCAATAGCCCCTGCTCTATGGTGACTTAATGTAAGAGGATGAGAGCTTGTGGTTTTGTACTGCAGCTTGCTGCAGGCTCTCCTCTCCCCAGTCAGCAAAGTGGAGAGTTTTCCAAGGAGGTTTATCAGCAAACAAGTCTTTTTTAGGAATGAGGAGAAGGTAGTCCACAGCAGAGCCCAAGTCCGGCTTCCAGTTGTGGCGAGATGAGGGTGCAGCTCATCTGGTGTCAGCTCAAGGGCTGATCACCCAAGGAAGACCTAGGACTCCCTTCTCTTAGTCCTGGCCTGGGACTTACTGGTGGTAGCTCAAAGCTTCCTCCCAGATTGGTAAAGGATTAATGTATTTTCAGAGTCCAAGTGCACTGTCCAAGTGCTCTGTCTGTAACCCCTTTCTTGACTCCATGGAAAACTAGGACCTGAGGTCAGTACTGATTAGGAATTTGTACATTTATCCTTAATATTACACTTTGACCAGAGTGTCAAGGCCCCACAAGGCTGGCTGCCATTTACACATCTCTGAAGATCATTGTGTTGGCAAATAAATGATTTCATCAAGCTGTGTCACTCCACATGTAAGGCAACGTGACAGACCAGCGTGTTACAGGGTCCTTGCCTGTGACACCAACAATGATGAGGTAAGTTGGGAGGGCAAACAAACCCTTCATCTGGGTGATAGTTTGGGTGGGGGCAGGGGGTCACAGACTTAGCCCAGCAGGTTGGCATGTTACCCTTTACACCTGCAAGGACACAAATATTTACTGCTGGTGAAAGGATCAGTATGAAAGGCACTGGATTGTTGTATTTGGGGGTTGTCCCTGACAGAGTAAATTTCAGCCTTACAGCTTTGAAAACGGATAGGAAAGGAAAATGCCATTGTGGAAAAGTGTGTTTCAGTAATTCCTGGTGTTCCTGGCATCCATAGTAAAAGGTACTTTGTAACAAACATGCGTAGTATTGATCAAACATTGTCCTTTGTGCCAGACAACGTTATGCGATTGCCGTCCAAAGCCTTGCTTTGCCAAAGCTGATAAATGTTTATTAACTCGGTAGGGCAGCCCCATTGTTCCTCGGAACAGCCATGTGATGGGTGTAGATGGCTTAATGGGCTCTGCTTGTGAGCAGGATGGCACTGAAAAAGTCTTCACCCAACTGGCATATCATGGGAATGGGAGGAGTGCGGATGGAGATCTGGATTCTAGAAGTAAGAGACCTTGTATTTCCCTTAGCAATAGCCCTCTGCTTCAAACACACTGGGGAGGTTTTGGAAGGTGGGATAAGTCTGTCCTTTGGGGGACATCCTTTGCAGCAGGTAAACAGGTCACTGCCAGTCTCCTACCTCCTTGGCAGAGGATCCCCCTGGGCCTCTCGGGGCAGTGCCTTGTTTCCCCGTGTATCCCCCTGCTCTATGTTGAAGGAGCCTGAACTCAACCCCCTGCTCATAAAACCTCCCTGCAGTCACTTAAGGGCTGGTGAAAGCACTGGCTGACCCCGGGGCTTTGTTTCTGTTATGAGTAGCAATGCTGAAAGGGACTTGCTGGAAGACTTTAAAACATCCTTTGCATTTATATAACCAAACACCCTTTATAATCTAAATCAGACCTGAGTGGTTTGCAGCAGTGGTTTTTATCTTCAAATAAACACTGCGGTGTGTTTTCCAAAGTTGGGTTCCCTAGTTACTCTCTTCAGGTATTTGGAGTTAAATGGCATCTTTTTGTTTGTTTTTCTTTCTTTAAAGCAGTCCTGAGTCTTCTGCTGAGAGATATAATCATAAAAGGCCTTGCAGAAAACCCCAGAAACTGGGCTCGTCAAAACACGTTTTGAAATGGTCCAGGAATGTCTGAAACTCTGGTCTTTCACAACTTGCAACCCCATCTGGCTGCCTTGCACTTTGAAAACCTGTTCAGAGATGACCCTTTGCCATGGTTTGTAGGGAAAGCCCACACTGTGGTGCCTGGCTAGGGCTTTTCCCTAGACCCAGGCACAGCCCTCCAAGAATCCTGCCTAGAAACACTTCATAGTGCTTTTAGGAAAGCAAATTATTTTTGGTGTGCATGTGGAGGGGAGAAGTATGGCCTTGGGAGGCAAAATCTTTCCTTGACTGAATGTTGACAGCTGGCATATACCACACTTGTCATGGCAACAGGTATTTTCATCCCTGTGCTCAGAAGTCCCTACAATTGTGGGCCACGAGGAAGAAAACTGCCGTGGAGCATACATCCAGGAGCATCATGTTTGCTTCTCCACCTCTTGAGAGAGGGCTGTGGGCATCTTACATTTAAACTCTACATGATTTAGGTATCTGCTCTGGTTTATTGCTATAAATATGGCCTGCATTAATAGTGGCTGGCAAAGCCTTGATGGGGTGTATTCCTGCTCCTGTGTTCCCCACTTCAAGCAGGGCATTGTGGCTAGTGAATTCCCCACAGGAAAGAGGGCAAAGGCAGGGCGTCTCCCAGGACCAGTGTGCTCCCGCGGCAAGGAGGAGCCTGAGCTTGTGCTTGTTTACCTGCACCAGCTGCACATAAATGCCATTTGCACAGGAGGGGATTAGCAGGGTTTATCTTCCACCAACACCCTGGAAAAGTGCATGTGCAAGGGGAGGGGGTGTTACTGTAATTACTGCTGATGGTGTGGGTGGCCATCCCAAGAACAAGCTCTCCTAAGAGCTGGCCAGGCTGCTAGTGAGGATGTTAACAGCACCCATCCCTACGTGGTCCAGGCAAGGCACAGTCCTGGCTGAGCGGTGCACACAAAAGCAAGAGAGGCTCATGTGAGGTTGCCTTCTAGGCTTAGGAAATGGCAGGTGCCTTTGCCGCTATGCAGCTGAGCTTTTGCATCCAAAAGGTCATCACTCGTGGAGAAAGAGGTTCGCCAGTGGCTGCCTCCTTCTGCTCTAGGCTGTCACAGGAATTCTGCTCCCAGTGTCATGGATCTGCCGCTCCAAGGTGACTGCCTTTGAGAAGTGTGTTGAAAATGGGTGGCAAAAGTGTCGCTTCTGCGTTACACTACCCCTTCCCTAAGTTTTAGGGGGTTCACATCATGAAAGAACATCAACCCCAGGATAATGCCTGAAACCCAATACTAGCTTCTGAACCATGAGTGTCCTGAGAGGGAACACCTTCCAACACCTTCCAACATCATTTGTGGTCTCCTAGCAAAAATGCAAGGGGTGATCTGGGTCATTCATCATGGGGTCTGAGGGTGGCTTCTGTAACAGGTGAGTGAGAAGGAAACATCCTCTTTAATGGAATTTTCTGAACTCCACTCTTTCTTCAGACAAGCCTGTAGCTTTTCAACAAATTTATGGAATATGCCTTCTATACCATTCCATACTTCACAAGTGTCTAATGAGGGTAAGTCTCACCTGATATTTTTTAAACCATCATACTGTTGTCCCCAGATTTTTGGGGACAAAGATGAAGCCTCATGATACTTTGACATGACAAAATAAGGCTCTGGTCTGACCTTACTAAATAGCAATGGTGATGTGCCTATGGATAGAGACTGGTTCATACAGTGCATTAATTCCTGAAGTCCACAGTAATAGCCCAGCAAAGAAAGGCTGGAATGGCATTTGCAAAGGCTGTTCCAGTCACTTTTGCTACTGCTTCAGGTGCCAGTGTAATATATTTTCCCAAGCCTACTTTCCAGATAGCAAGTACATCCTTGGGTTTAACTAACCCTTGCAGAAGCTGAGTTGGTGTTTTATGAGAAGACATCAATGCTGGCGCTCCTGGCTACAGTGATAAAAACAATTCTCTATTGCCTGCGTTTTCTCCTTGTCGTAACGTGCCTGAACATCTCAGATCTGAGAAGTTTCCCAGTGACTGTTGAATTGTACATGGCAGCCCAACCATTTCAGCAATGAATTTCTTTTTTTCCCCTTTCCTTTTACAGTAACAACCTTTTCAAACTTGAAAGTCCTGGTGCTTTTGTCAGAAACTTCTTTCAGAATTCTCCAGGGTGAATAAAGCTGACAAACATCTTGTCTTCACAATCTTTTATCCAGTAACAAGTGTCTTCTCTATGCAAATTTCATTGGTAAAGATCTAGTCATAAACTTTTTCACAGACATCCTTTTTTAATTTCTTTTTAAGAAAAGAAAGGTGTGTTTCTTTTATTTTTAAAGCAGCTCGTGATGAATGGGCCTTCAGAACCTTTAGAGAGACTGAGGAGTTCACAATGTCGGGGCTGGTGCGCGTTCTCCTATAAAGCTTGTGATTATAATCCTTTTAAAGGGCAGTACACAAAAACTGTTGTGGGTTGGAAAATATTCTCCCATCTCAGTTTCTAAATGTTGGGGTAAAGCAATCTGCAGTGCCTCCTTTGAATTTCTTAATGGCAACAAAGCAGTGAGTTTATTGATCAAAGAGCTTCACAGCTTAGTTAAAAATTCTGTACTAAAGATCTGTGATTTTTCAGGTATGTGTCCTTGACCCAAAATAGCTTTAAAGGCTATGGAAAATCTATCATATGACTTGTATTCTAGTGGGCATATTTAGATCAGTGCCCATCAAGGATAAGATGTACTTAAGTGGTTGTTAAATTGGGTGTTGCACATCCACTGAAAGCTGCTCTAAAGCTGCATTTGAAACATCCTCTCTGCTTTAAAATTTGTTTGTGCCAGCTTTTACAAAGAGTAGGAAACAACTGGTTCCTTGTATGCCAGGCTTGCATTTGCCTTGGTTCTCAAGTCATCACTTCTGTTCCTGCTCTGCTTTCCCTATTAGCTTCTGCTGGTGAGCTCCTGGCTTCTAACTTCCTATTTACTAAGCTATTCTTGACATTATCTATATCAAAACATAGATGGTGGTAACTTCCATTTCCTGACTCTGTTTCTCATAACCCGTTCTGCCTTTGTCTCTACAGTCAACCGCATTGTCCTTGTGAAAATCAAGGCTTCACATTGATTCAGCAGACTGATTCAGCTTCTCAGCAGTACTGGCTTATCTTTACTTCCATTTGCCTCCGCACAGCATGCCTTTCTTTTCTTCTTGTTCTTCCTTTTGCACAAGGATTTTTCCATGAGCTCATTGTACTTCTTTTCCCTCCCACTCCTCACGTTGTATCCCCTTCTCTGGCAGCCAGTGCATATGTCCACTCTGCCAAGGAACCCACTCTCATGGACGTGTTTTTCCACAGGGCTTGTGCAAGTGATTGGTTGCCTTTCGTTCTGTCCTCACATCTTAGTGCCTCCTCTTCTTCCTCCTTGTGCACCCAGAAACACCCTCCAGAGCTGGCCCCAGCACTCCATAGATGTCACCATGGGGATGGATAAGGATGCAGCCAGCTGGTCTCTGCTTCAGGATGGCCCATTCAGGATAGACATGGAAACCTCCTCATTCAACATGTTCCCGCCAGCATCACGAACAAATACTGAGGGATGAACATCTCCCACCAATGCCCTCTGAGCCACATGGTTGTTGTCAGCCTCAGGCTCAGACTGAAGGCTTTGTTTCTAAGGTCTGCCATGTGCAAGAGTTTTCCTTGACTGTGAGAATCTGGAAATAGGGATGTGCAGTCCTTACCTGGCAGCAGCGTGCTTAGCATCAAGGGAGACAAGTGACAAGGGAACACTTAAAAGGAAGGCGGTGGCCTGTCTTTCCAACTCTTAGAAGGAAAAATGCTTCAGATGTGGCAGCTAGAGCCAGAAACAAGGGATGTTGTGCACTGCATGTGCATTAGATCTGCATTAATAGAAAGGGATTTGGTTTCGGTTTTATTCTCTATTGTTAGAAAGAAAAACATCTTCACCATGGCAGGTAGAAGAAAGGACACGGTGAATAACTGAGGTGAGATCATTATGTGACTTCATGAGGAGTCACAAACTGCCACAATTGAAGGAAACTATCATTTACCACTTGTTATTTAGCAGACGGGCACAGCTGAAACTCGGCTCCACTGCAAACTTTATTGTTTCCCTGTCAAATCCTAAGAGGCTGAGATACCTCCCAGGAGACCACTAATCACTACTGGCACTGGGTGTTGCTGGCAGCACGAAGTGAACCTTAAAAGCTTTGGTGGTTCAGATTAGCATCAAAGAGGCCAAATGCTTCCTCTGGGTTCCAGGTCACGCTAAACCTTTAATAAAAATCTGAGACTCTATGAAAGGAAAGAGAGAGCAGGCTTATTGACTGCATCTGGCATGACCAGTCCCTTACCACCTAAAATTAGCTAAACTCCTGGTATTCTGTGTCAGCG